GATAACCTTCTCTACAAGACCTGACAGACGAGACACATTTATTTCTTATTTAAAGCATTTTCAAATTTTACACATTTTTTTGTTCTAAAATCATGTTTTTTGCTCAATAACTTTCGTGTCATGTGACATAATGTTACTCTACTAGACTTGACACACTCATGTATTTCTAATTTTAAAGCATTTTCTAATTTTAAATAATTTATTTGTCCAAAAAGCATGGTTCAACTCAGTGTTTCAGAAGCTCTGGGTTGAAGCAATTAGATTAGTTTGGAGAAAGTCGCGTGATAAAAGATGTTCAAAATTACGTAATTTCTTTGGTATGGTCTATGTTTGGTACCAGGTTCAAAGGTTTACGAGGATCATCATCAGCCGAATTTGTGGTGTGTTTTGGTGCAGCAGTTTAAGTAAAATCTAACAAACCAGCAGGCAACGTGAAACATCGAGCCAGCCTTATGTGTTTAGTTTACCAGGTCATAAGCACTTTACATGCAAGTTACTGATCTTGCAGTACACTGACTCATGCCGCAGATGGGGCAAGAAACGTAACGCAAGCATCATTCCAAACAGATTTTTTGTTGTGGATTAAGTGTAATAAAATTTAAAAAAAAAAGTTTTTACAAATGTCAAGAAGTCAGAAGCAAAGGGCAATGCCACGTTGCAATGCCACGTTTTTAAGTTTTATTCATCAAAATTATTTAATTATCAAATAACTACAACTTTATTAGTTCACCTACAAAAATTTAAATAAATGTTCAAAACACCACAATAGCCCAATGTTAAACAGAACTGTCTTAGGATAATATACAACAGCTGTCATCTGGTTGAAAGACTTTCCCGTTCCATACAGCATTAGCTGTAAAGCACGTTAAAAATAGTTACACATACAAAACAGGTAGAGGTGAACAAGTAAAACAGTAGCAATGTGGTCAGTTTGTCCTGCAGCAATCTAAGCTTATAGCAGTATAACTAGGGGATAGTTCAGGAAACCCAAGCCAACCCTAACTATAGGATTTATCAAAAAGGAAAGACTTAAGCCTAATCTTAAAACTGGGCAATGTGTCAGCCTCACAGACAGAAACTGGAAGTTGGTTCCACAGGAGCCTGATAACTGAAGGATCTGCCTCCCTTTCTGTTTGTGGAAACTCTATAGGAACCACATTTAAACCTACAGTCTGAGAGTGAAGTGTTCTGTTTGGAAAATATGGAACAGTAAGATCTGTAATATAAGATGGAGATAGGTTGTTGAGCGTTTTGTAGGTTATAAGTAAAATTTTGAATTCTGTTCTGAATTTGACAGGGAGACAATGGAGAGAAGCTAAAAGAGATATGATCTCATCTATCTAACAAAGTTAAGTCAGGTCTTCTGGACGGATTAAAAATAAAATTAAATTAAAAATTAAAAACTTGTTGAAACGTTTCGTCTTTTATCCAAAATACTTTGGCAGTCTGAGGAGCTACAATAAACTTTGTCTTATGAATAGCACCTTCTCATTGTGGATCAACCAGTTTGTTGTTGACATCCAAAACTAGCTGTTCACATGATAAAGCAGGACCATCAGCCCAACAATTGATCATTAGTGCCCTGATGGTCACTTACTATTCACAGAGGGCTGAGTGATACTAGCAATCACAGCATTGTAAGAGGGGGACAGTTGAACCCGGAGGCCTCCACCCCTGTTTAATGATGGACGGTTTCTTTTCACAAAGATGGCCTCCTTTACTTCTCTCAAACCATCGTTCCTCTCCAACCAGGATGTGAACATCTTCATCCTTGAAAGAGTGACCGCTGGCCTGGAGATGAGTGTAGACCGCAGAGTCTTGGCCTGATGATGTTGATCTTCTGTGCTGGGCCATCCTTTTGGTCAGTGGCTGTTTAGTTTATTTATTTTCATTTACCCTTTATTTATACAGGTAGTCTCATTGATCCACGAGAACTCATTTTCAAGAGAGACCTGTTTTTAGGGAGCAGATGGGGGTTAAGGGCCTTGCTCATGGGCTCAGGGTGGGGCGAATGAGGGTGGGGGCAGGTGTGGGTGCTTCGCCTACCCCACCCACATTTTTGATGCTGTTGGTACCGGGGCTTGAACTGGCGATCTTCTGATCACAGGCCCACCTTCTCTAGCCTCTGCACCACCACTCCCCCAGGCTGTTTAGTTTCCCCGATGTAAGACTGATCACAGCCCTGACACTGAACAACATACACAATATTACTCTGTTTGTGCCGGCGGACTGGATCTTGAGGATGAACCAGTCTTTGCCGTAATGTATTTTGGGGTTTAAAAGCCACTGGGACGTTATGTTTAGAAAATAAACGTCTCAGTTTCTCTGATACTCCCTCAACATATAGAATGACCACTGGTCTGGGTCTGGGTTCCTCCTTTTCACCTGTTGGCTGACTGGAGTCCTGTTTGGGTTTCTTCTCTGCTTTCAGGAAGGCCCAGTTAGGATATCCACATTGCTCTAGAGCCTGTTTTGTGTAGGATTTCTCCTTCTGCCTGGCTCCTGAGTTAGTGGGGACGCTGTCTGCTCTGTGATACAGAGTCCTGATGACTCCTAACTTGTGCTCCAAAGGGTGATGGGAGTCAAACTGCAAATACTGGTCTGTGTGGGTGGGTTTGCGGTACACCTCAGTTTGCAAATGTCCTCTATCAGAGACTGAGACCTCACAGTCCAAGAAAGCCAACCTGCCATTTTTTTCATCTTCTCGTGTGAACTTGATGTATTTATGCACAGAGTTGATGTGGTCAGTAAAATGTTGGACTTCCTGAGATTTAATTTTAACCCAGGTGTCGTCAACATACCTGAACCAATGACTTGGTGGTGTCCCTGAAAAGGACGTCAAG